TATTGTACAGTCTTTACAGTGTAAAGACAACAAAATTTAAAAAATTAATGGAATGTCTGGAATGTCAATTTCCCAAGATAATAATAAGATTTTTCAGGGAATAAGAATTAGTCAGTGATTAACATTTTGTGTTAAAATATACAACATACACTGTGTGATATGAGATGAGAGATAACTTTATTGGGCAAAGAATAGTATTTGGTCACTTAAATGGACATCAAAACTGGCCTCCCTGTGACTCACTGTGAGGTTGTTGAACCACATGAATTTCTCCAAGCTAATCAGCAAAGATCAGATTATATGAAAGGTAAAGTGACATTATTGCATCTGCCTGGTAATGACCCAGAGGATGTCAAAATTCAGTATTCTTCCTGAATTCAAGAAATCTGGCTTTTCATACCCCCACACTTGTGGTCATAACATTAAAACTAACAGTTATAAGATGATGAAACCCACCGATTGTGTAGTTTAATAACTGTTTAAAATTTTCTGAAAATATACACTAGTATGAATCTAGAACCACAGTTAATACAATGTTGGATGCTGTCACAGCTTTTCATAACACTATGCAATGATCCAGCAAGAAAATAAAACTTTTATAGACATTTTCAAAGTAAAAATGCTGAAATATATGATTTAATTTTTTTTTTTTTTTTGTCCTTGTGGCAGATTTTTATATAACTAAATTGCATATTTGTTTTGATTTTTGTCTTTTTCTGGTAAAATGAATTTAGTAATACAACTTAATGTGATCAAATGCATATATTTAAATATAAAATATAAGGGGTTAAAAAGTTGTTATAACGCTGTTTCTGTTTTCAGTAGACTTAAAAATTTCCTTCAAATTGGGCTACATGCTGACTAATAAGTGTACTCAGTGTTTTTTTTGGGGTTTTTTTTCTGGATCAATCTATTTGGTGTCCTGGTGAAAAACACCGGTGTGTTTATGAAACGGACCCAAAACGCAGACACAGGAGAAATGAACTGGTGTTTAAACAAAAAATGAACCTTTACTGCGGGTGATACAAAAAACGGAAAACAAGGGAGAAAGAAAACTGAAACCTAAACTGGGAAAAACTATGACCATCTATGAAACCTAAGCCATGGGACATGAAGATGGAACTGAACAGGAACATGCAAACATAGCGAGAAAAAGTCTAAACATGAACATGAACCTGGTAACAGGTAACAGAGGACTTAAAGAAACAGAAGGGTAATGAGGGAAGTGAAAACACCTGGGGAAACACAGGTGACACAAATGAACATGTCGCCACGGGGGAAATAAAACAAAACAAAGTGAACATGGAAACACTACAATCTTCAAAATAAAAAATAAAATATGGAGAGACGTAGACATGACACTCGAGCTTGACAATGTGGACACAACACAGACATGAAACACATGACAGACTGGACAGGAAACATGACACATAACCAAGGAAACATGGATTAAAAAACAAAATCCAGAATAAAGCTCAGCTAAATCCCAACTAATAATAACACAAGAAGTTATTATCACCAACTTAACATGAGAAAATCAAAAATCAAAAATAATCTGAAAACACTGGGTCACAGACCCCGCCCCTGGCATTTGGTTGCTTAATGGAAGACAGCCCATCAATTATCATACCACAGCATAGCACAACACACAGTAGATTGTATACACATGCTAAATATGGTGAATTAACTTAAGTGAATTTTATTCTGTGAAAAAAGTTTAAATGCTTTCTCACATTATCTTACTTACCATCATTAACAACTGACAGGAGCAAGTACTGCATTTGTGTAGTATTTGTGAAGTGTGTATCAAGAAAAATGTTCATAAAAATGTTCCTTTAAGTTTATGTGTGCTTTTCCCATAGTTTTTATATACTGTACATACCATATGTAAAAATGTATACTTCAGTGACATTGATTGACATCCTAAAAATAAAACATTTTGAAATATCACACAAGTAAAAAAAAAGTCCTTTCGCACACTCTAGTTACACTCTAGGGTTGAAATTTTGAATGTCTGTGTTTTGCAATGATTGCCCTATAAAAGGCTGGAAAGCCAGTTGGTATAGTTCATTGGTGTGACGAGAAACTTCCTGAAATTGTGCTACAAAAAGAGGGAAAAAAACAGAAAAGAGAGAGGCGAGAACAGAAACTTACATTTAAGTAGTCAGCGGACATCAGTGAGGAGAGAGAACAAGGCAAAACAGGTAAGAAAAAATTTAATGTGTTTTAAAATATCTTTTTAAATACAAAAAAAGAAAATCTATTTTTTTTTTACATCAATAGCAGTTCTGGTAAAATAAAAATACCATTATGCATAGATTACACGGATGATATAATGCTGCACTGTTATATAGCAGGTATTTTACATTTATTGCATAAGTGTCGCTGAAGCACTGTAAGAACATTTTTATTCATCAAGTAATGTTTCAGGATGGATGACACAAAGATTATTACTTTTTAAGGTAGTGGTGTAATCACAGGTGTGGGTAACAGATAGATAGATACACAGGAGCAAATAACTGATCACGTTTAATCGATCTGAATTGGTGAATTTGATTTTTGTTTTTATTCCTGCATGTTTACGGCATCATCTATATTAGTTATTCTAAGAAGAGAGAGACTGAATCTGTTGAGCATCGGGCATCAAGGATGTTTGTTCTCATCTGGGCAACTCTGCTTTTCAGCAGTGCTGAAACAGGTTTGTGTCTATTTTGTTATCAACCTGTAATTCAGCCAACATATATATTTCTTTCATAAATTTGCAAGTGAAACTGTTTTTCTAACATACAAATCATTATTTATTCTACCAAGACTTTATCATAAGTTAGTAGTGTTACTGTTATCTGTTGACCTTTATGCCATTTTATATAAATCTTTGTAACAAAACTTACTTCAGGCTAAGGAATATGTAAAATTCTGATTGTTGTATATACTACACACAAACAAGCAACATATGTAAAACAGGAAAGCTATTGAAGTATATTTATTAAAAATCATATTTATTGCTATAAACTAAACATTCTCTGTCACTATGTGTATCTCCCTGTTTGTGCCTCAGCCTGGGGACGACAACACTGTGTTGGAAGATACTGTGTGACTCTCAGTGA